TCTGTGCCTGTGCCTTTCTTTGTGTCTGTATATGTAGCTGTAGCTGTATCTATTCAATCTTTCGGCAATATAGACGATAAACACACCATGTCCTTTCTATCTAACCCAATTTTGAACAACCGTGCAAGTACATACAGGAACTGAAGGAATCTATGAACAAAATTCTTACTCTGCCTACGATTGTCATTCATTTATTGACTTACCTAAGAGACACTTTCAATGTCCCTCAGATGTATTTCCTCTACTGACCACAGCATTGTTAAGTATCCCGATGTCGAGCAGACGTGTACGTCCATCCAGACACTTAAACTCTAAAAGTAAAGCTGTCAATCTAAAAATAGATCCGCTTGCTCATCCGCATCCTACCTGCACCTGTCCTGCAGATATGGCCTCGCATTGTGATGAGGACACCTCCAATGCCCCTCCCACACATGTGTCGTGGTCGGACGGGCGGATATGGATCTTAGACTACCACACGCCTAGTACGGTACCTACCACACCCACTCCGTCGGCTGTGGACGGTCAGATGAATGGGGATGGCCTCTCCACGACGACTTCTGTTGCGGCTGAGACAGAGACTGGTACTAGCACATACGGGGCGGTGCACGCACATGCATATGCGTCTGTGCATGTCCCTGCAGCCTCTACCACTGCACATAGTAACAGAGGCGACAAAGAAGCACAGACCGAGACAGTGGACTTTAGTACAGCTGTGGGTGTGGAGGAGAGTGCGAGTGTAGGCGATGAGAGTGTGCTGCAGATGGGCAGTCCTTCTTGTGACAGTGGTGCAGGCGGGAGCGCCCAGGACGCTCGGCTATTAGTAGAACCCGAGCTATTAATAGAACCCGAGCTATCAATAGAACAACCCAACCGCAAGGCACCAGTGAATGAAGCTGCGGTGCGGGATTGGATTGTGATGGACACTTGGTTTGCGGAGGAGGCGGATAGTTCGCCCATGCCGAGTGCAAAGGTGTGCTACTTTACTGGGTTACATTGGTGGGCGTGAATCTATTTTTAGATTTATTTATTTATTTTGCGCCAAAGTTGTTGGTGGACTTGAGTTGTGTGCTTTTTTGTTGCGCTGATAAAATTTGGCTTAAATCTATTCTCAGATTCGTACCTTAGCTGTAGGTGGATTGAGTGATGTGCTACATACTTGGTCAAGATACTTTGGGCGGGAGTGAATCTAATTTTAGTCTTTTG